AATGATTTCTGTCACATGTAAATGTTCGATGAGATATGATATTCACCAGGTTTTTTCATAAAATAGTTGACCTGAAACTTTCTTTGACCTAATTGATCAAGTCGCCGATTAACAAATCAAAATGCAGGATGGTGCCAACATGTTCAAATTACCATAGCTCATTTAAATATGTTAATGACAGTGACTTCAGGGTCAACGCAACACGAAAGAGATTCTCCGATGTTGTTGTGCGATCGTTTGGCTTTGATTTTGATGGGAAAACGTCATGTTTTTTTTTAATCAAGAAATTAATTGTTTTTGAAACATAAACTGAGCATCGAAGAAGAATTTAACACTTTTTTTGGTGTTGACAGCTCATTGCCGAAACAAAGTTTACCCATTCACACTTAGCCACAATAAACATCATACTCTTGAATAGGTGTCAATGACTACAGAAAACCTGAATTAGACTCTAATCTAGATGTCAAGAAAGATTGAAATGTTTCAAAATGATGCCTAAATTAGAGATTATACAGGGTATATCTTTTTCTGAAATATTTGGTCCCCATTTGGTTTGTGTGGCACACAGGTTTGTGAAAGTTTAGAGTGCGGCTTACATTGCAGGGTTTCTCTGTGATCAAAACTTCAACAATTAAGAAACATTGTCTCAAGTTAGGGGTGTGGCTTCTATTAAAGCTGCGGCCTCAATTATGATTTTTACGATACGTTACAATTTTAAAACACACCAAAACAAAATATAAATTTGTTGGTTTTATTCAATAGGTTGAATGGTTGCAAGTGACCTTAATAATTTGCCTACCTTTCTGTATACTATTTCCTCACCACAAGAAATATTCCTCAAGGCAAACAGAACGAGATAAGGACGTCCCTTTAGTTCCAAAACCTTCATTTTAGAATTGGGTTTTTGACTGTGGTTGATGAGCCTCCCATACTTTGGGCCATCCATGGGTTCTGAAGTAGCATCAATGCTGCAAGATAAGACAAACACAATTATTGGACTTTATTACCCCTCAAGTATGACACAGACAATGTAATTGGTCAAAAGCAGTCACATGATAAATAGTGATATTGGCCTATCCCAGACTATGGTGTGTGTTCCTGGCCTCTTATGTCATAACGTCTATCTATGACAATTGTTGCTGATGATACAAAGTATACGGCAACATATTGGTTTTAACTAATCTTTAAAAGTTGTCTTCTTGTTCTATTTTAGTATATTAATGAATTAAACAAGCAGCCTGTCGGCTGAGATAGCTCCGCTGTTAGCAATGCACATGGCAATTAAAGAACAGAAGATATCATTAGAAAATGAACAAATCTGAGAGAGGTCCACATGTACCGGATTCGGCCGATACCCCGCCCTGGGCGATCTTATGGAGGATTCGATTTTTTTTTAGAAAAATGTGGACCAAAAGGCGATCTTTTGGCAGATATTACGAGGCCCATCTTGTCTAAAAAAAATAACCCTGCGTTGATAGAAATGGTCTAGAAAAAATAATGTTTCGCGTTGACCAAATATAATCATGCAAAGTATAAATTCAAAGTGTTTTAATACATTGGTGAGAGGTCGAATTTTACGTGAACAAGAACATGCACTAAGAAGGAAAAGCAATTCAAAGTCGAAACGGGGTGCATCATGGACATGACACAACACACGATGCGACAACCGAGTGATTAGCGACATAATTTTGAAGTACTTCTTTGCGAAACTTGCTGCGCGGCGATGCTGGCATCAAGTGTGTGTTGACCGAAGTTTGACCCCCAAGTCACGCGCTGAACTGGCGCGTTATCTTAGCAACCTTTTTCTTTTGCGGTCCGCGCGTCGATCTAGTAAAATTTTTATTATATCCGACGGTACTGTAATTACGCAACTTGTATGCAACTCTGTACTGGCTTTGAATATATCAACGTCGTTTACTTAGTGCACTGCTTTTCTAATTACGCAAATTTGTTTACAATATTGTACCAGCTCTGAATATTTCAACTTTGTATTAAATGTATTGCTTTCATGATAATTACGCAAACTCAAGTTAATTTTTACTATTGTTAGGGCACTGACCCGGGGTATTGCGTCTGTGAATATTTCAATATTACCGACTTGATAATGCGTTGCATTCGTAATAATTACGCAAACATAAACATTGGCGCATTTAAATCATTAAAAATAGTCGGGTATCTACGGAAAGTCGAGAACATATTTTAAATACTTGTGATTCACCAATGTTCCAATGGTGATTTTTTTTATTCGAAATGAAGTGAATATAAACCATACCATGCGTCAAGTTAAATTTTACTATAATATAATAAACTCTGGACAGCGCACTTCGATCGAAATATTCACGTACATTTCGACTGAACTCTAATAACCACGCGTTTGAGTTCACGCACTGATATTTAAATTCGAGCCACCCAGCTTGACGCAAATCAATATAGTTACTTGTCATGTGTTCAAAAAATATTTCAACTCTCACAAATACCATGAACGCAAAGAGCTAACTGGGGGTTAACTGAAAGAGAACGTCTGTTTTGGAGAAAAAACACGTCAGTACAAGATTATGTGTACAAGGTTAGCTTTATAGAACGTACATGACGTAACGTACGTAAATCAATATAGTTACTTGTCATGTGTTCAAAAAATCCTTCAACTTTCACTAATATCATGAACGCGAAGAGCTAACTGGGGGTTAACTGAAAGAGAACGTCTTTTTTGGAGAAAGAACACGTCAGTACAAGATTATGTGTACAAGGTTAGCTTTATAGAACGTACATGACGTAACATGCGTAAATCAATATAGTTACTTGTCATGTGTTCAAAAAATCTTTCAACTCTCACAAATACCATGAACAGGAAGAGCTATTAACTGGGGGTTAACTGAAAGAGAACGTCT